CCTATCACTTAGTCAGAAAAAAATAGGAGATACACATTTATAGTCCACTTTTTAAAACAATTATGGTCAAAACTATTATCCCCAAATTCTTTTTTGATAAATAACTTGTGTAAGAACTTACACTTACAAACTAGTTTTTTAGAGAAGGAAGCCTTAAGTAACAATTTCCTCAATAATACGGAAGGTTTTTACTACTGTAGAGACTGTGTAGGATGTAGATTATGACAGGATAAAAATAGAAATAATAAAGTTTTTTCATCTAAAGTGACTAATAAAGAATATAAAATTAAATCCCTCATTATATGTAGCACCACTTACCTGCCCCTGTGGCTATCAATATGCCACCAGGAAATTAAAAGTGCGTATTGGAGAGCATATCAATAACATTAGAAAGAAATTTGTAAATCATAGTGCCTCCAAGCACTTTTCGGAATTCAATGGAGGAATCCCAGAAGGATTACAGTTTGTAGGGATAGAAAAAAATTTAATTCCATTGGAGAGGGGGTGTAGGGATAACTTAATTTAAAGGTGGATGTTTAATCTTGAAACTGTTGTTTAAATGCTCCCTAAATCTCCCAACAATTTTTAGCCAGCCACTTAGGTTGCAAGGACTCATATGAAATGAACAGAAAATGATTTGAAATTACTTTCATGCATGCTTTCAGACACTGTAATTTATATTAAAAAGTGACATTTTCTGTTTTTTTTTAAAAATACAAGATATGTTTGCCAATATGTCCTATATGGTGGCTGGGGACACAACATATTTTTAGCAATTGCAAGCATTTATATATTCGGTTAATTTTTTTCTGGTTCCCAATGAATTAATGACTAACTTTTGATTTAATTATTGATTATTTCCATTACCCCTTAACAGCAGCTTGAAGACTCTCACGGCTGTCCAGAATGTGAAGATTATGAAGAAAAATATTTAGAAGAATTTATCAATGAATTTAGAAACCAAATTCATAAAATTAACTCAATTAAAAAAATAAAATAAAATAAAAAAGATGAAAGCATTGTGATTGCATCAAAACTCGAAATTTTGCTTTTAATGCTCTATTGTGTAGATTAATTTTCAAATACATACAGGACTAACCTAATTTATAAATGATTTGTTTCCTAATACGTTTTATTTTTCTAGACTCAAATTAATATACTCTTGTATATTTGGTCATTGACATTCATATTTAGTAATGTTTAAATATGTATGTAAACATCTATGACATTCGTCAGGTTTTACATTCCTTGTTCTGCATAGTCTGATTTTTTTACATACAAAACAAGTAAACATAGAACAGAAAAGATTGTGTGATTTTATTGCCACCCAAGAGAAACCCTTTCCAACTCTCCAGATGTCCCACTGATAAATATTAAATAAGATGTATTGCTTATAGAGGGATTCCACTGGTATTATTCTCATTCAAGCATTTCATGGACACTGAGCATTATTTGAATTCTACCTCTTTTCTCACCATCAACAAGGTACTCAGTGCATAGGGCTATTTTCATGTGTACTATGTACGTATTTTTGCCTTGGTATTTTTTACTTAAGCTTTTTTTTTTTTTTATATTACATAATTAACGCCTTAAGGACACATGACATGTGTGACATGTCATGATTCCCTTTTATTCCAGAAGTTTGGTCCTTAAGGGGTTAAATATATATGAATAGAATGCTAATTTAAATATGTGAATATATTTGGTTCAGTGAGTGCAATTTTTTCAGAGGAAGATTCTGAACTATTACATGAAAACAAATGTTTAGTTTGGCTGCTAAATTGATCATTTATGAGGCACATGGACTGCAATAGCTATTGTATGGAATAATAATGTATATCTATCTAGTCCATAGCTCTCCCCAGAATGTAGTTTGGTTGAAATTATTTCATACTCTCGCTAATGTCAAAATTAATTAATAACTCAATTATCTATTAAACTAAAGAAACGCATAACTTTTAAGTTAAGGAGCGTCAATATCTTCCTTATTTAGTGCTCATGTACGGATTAGGTCCTCCTGTCCAAACTATTTATCTGCGATCATTCATGCCCATTACATGGTGACTTGACTCTAAATAGTTGTAATCTTTGCTTTTTTTCAATATATGTGTCTATAAAAGGCTTTTTGTTCCTCATATTTGTCAGTATTTTACCCAAAAGAAGTAGCTTTGTCTCTTTTGTTGCTTATGTGGTGCAATAGTCAAGCTCTGGATCCCTATAGTGAACTGAAACATGTTACCAGGAATGGTGCACACCCTTGCAAACTCTACTTCTTCATTACTTCTTAAAAAGGATTGGGTTTGGCGACAGGTTATCACTAGCATGATAACATACCACAATAAAAAAAAAAAATACATGATCAAGATTAGGAAGAATCCAAATTGTCAAATCCAAACTAGTTTCTAATAAATGTGTAGTTTGTGCATCAGGCAGACAGTTGGGGCTCATATTTGAGCAATAAGTCCAGATGTCAGAAAACTGGATGCCCAAAAGATGAACAAGTTGGACAGTTGCTTGGATTAGGAGCAGAAAAGAAGTTCAAGAGAAGGAGTTGGGCACCTTTGCTGGAACAAATTATGGAGCAGGATTAAAGCTGCATCTGGAGACTGAGCATTGGCATCAGAAGGAGCGGGAATGGGATCAGGAAAAATAAATAATCATGCATGAAGGGAGTAGAATTAATATGGGTTTAGTTAATAGGCCATGACCATGTTGCTTAGGCAATGCAGCTGGAGTAAAACCTGCATAACTGTCCATTTCTGGATGTCATGGCATAATTTGGTGTGCACTACTGCTGTTTGAAGCATGAATGCCATTGGTCTGTTGCTGCCAGTGCATCAATGAAAAATTGGACTAAATTGCTTACATGACCAGAACCTATATAGGAAGCCTGGAGCAGTCTCTACTTAGCACAAGAGGTCATGGCAATGCAATATGGCAAAGACTGAAACAGTGACTAAACAGTGAAAAATACTTTGTCTGTCTAGTGGTTAATCACTTGCCATCCGAGCTTAGTCTCTCTGTTTAAAGGGATACAGGGGAGGTTCAGAGAAGGACACATCTCACCAGTGAGAGTTTATTTCCATCAGCCCATTTCCTTTTGGTTTACAGATTACTGCATCTCATCATAGAGACTATGGGAAAAGATGTGACACATCATGACAAGAGGAGGCACAGAAAGAGAAAATTGGTGCTTTGGACTGCAGACAATTTGCATTTTTGGTGCCACTGCATTTAAAAGGTTCCCCATCACCTGCGTCCTTTTCGTTTTCTTAAGCTATTTACAATTCTTAAAATAACCTGTGAAGTCAACAGCAACATTATAAAACATTATTTGGCATGTAATGACAAGATTGACTGCTTAAGTTTGTATTTGCATTACTGTCATGATCAATTTACTGTCACTACGTATGCACTGCAAAAATAAAGATAAATATGTAATAAAAGTTCCCCATCAAACACTTAAGAAACTGAAAGAAAACATGATACAATGTTTACAAAATAAACCTCAAATTGTGATGTGCATTTAAATAAAGAGGGAATAAAGTAATACAACGTTTGAAAGAAATTGGTGCAAAAATGGCTGGCTAATAAATCTCCAAATATACCATATATCATATCCCGTGGTGTCTAATTTTGCTCATGAAGTGCATTTACAAGGTAATTTAAACTGTCAATCTCCTACAATGCTTCAAAATGCTACAATGGCCCACCAAATTCATCAACATCAAAACTGGAATTGTAAAACCTAAAATAGTCAGGTCTCTTATATGGCACTGTAACTTTACTAAATAATTTCAAAGGCACACATTGGGGGTATTTTTTTACTCGGAATATTTAACTGAGCATAATTTTGGGGAATTTGATCATAGTGGTAAATATCAGATTAACAAAACTCCATCAAAAATACAATGCATTTGTAAAAAATGCAATATAAAATTTACCACAATCTTTGACATAAACTGGTGAGGATTTCCCAAAAGGTAGATCCTCAGATGCCGTAGAACTACAACTCCCTTGATGCTTTGTTCACCTTTGGAATGTTTTAAAACATCTAGGGATCTACCTTTTGGGCACCACTGATATATGTATGAGATACCCTGGCGTGTCTACTTTCTCAAATTTGTGGGGTAATTTGAACATTCAAACTGCTAAAATACCCCAAAATGAGACATAGTCCTATTAAATCTACCTATAAAAATTCTAACAGTAAAAACTAAAATGGTCAAGTTTCTTATATATTACTGTAACATCACATTATAGTGGAAAAGGCATACTTGGGGATATTGTTCTACTCAGAAGATGTAGCTGATCACAATTTGGGGGTTTGTACAGTAGAAGCACACATCAAGTTTACAAAATAAATGTTAACAATCTTTTTATATGTGTGCATATAAACAAAACAAAACAAAATATTTTAGTACAGAGATTGACAGTTAAAGTGACACTCCAGCTTACTGAAGGGCTTTATGTGAAGAATGTGCCCATTTTTTTCATTTTACAAAAAGTGAAGATTTAAATAGTACTTTTATAAATGAACCTTGTTACAACCCCACCCTCCCCCCACAGGCTGCTGAATAAACAACCAGTTATATCACTTCCTGGTTTGGTTAGCTCTGTGTCGCTAAACTCAAGATCCGGACAATTGCCCAGAGCATCTGCCTTGCACAGCTTTCGCATTGTGGTGCTTTAGGAAGTATGTGACTGAAGAGCCAGAGAAAGAAATTTACAGATTTTGCAAGCAGTTTTTTTTTTTTTTTATATACTCTAGCAATTAAAAAATACATAATTAAATGCATGCTTGTTTTCATTGTGGGCATATCTACTAAATATTGATTAAAATAATAAAAATTGTATTTGGGGATTGTAGTGTCCCATTAAAAGTGTCCCATTAAATGGCTCTGTAAAAGAGCCAAAATATCCTTAGGTAAATACCCTGTAATATCTTCTTTATATAATCATATATACTTGTGTGTAAATCTTGTTTTCTGTGATGCTGTCTTAGAAGACACACATATCAAATTCTAAAATTGCCCCACAATGAAATTGTATTTTGCTACTATTTTATTTATAATAAATTAGAATTTATATATGAAAGAGACTGCAGGTGGTAAGAAACACTTACATTGTAGTTAGAGGATGGGTTACAGAGGTAATTTGGGCATGACTCACTACATACAAATTGAGAAAAAGAGAACTGATGAGGTTAGATTTCTACCTGAATCAAGAGGAAATCCAACCCCACTGGGATTACTTCTAATTAAAAAATCATTATAGGATAATAACCTTTATTGTAAAAAAACAGACACACAAACAGAACTAATACACAAAAGTAAATGTGTAACCTATTGTGAAATAATCACAAAAGTGCTAATTAGAGTTAAAAAGGAATGTGCCCTTAGTGGTGTTCTACAGGGCTAATAGGTATATGTAAGTAGCTAGTATATTATAGATTAGACTCTAAAAGCAACTTGAATAACAATGTAGAACTATCTCCCTGAAATATATACTGTGACAAAAGCAACCTTGTCACTGGCTTTTGGAGGGGCCTGTTTGTCAGCCTCCTACCCTGTGATTATGGCCCTTTGACAAACTGAACCTCGTAAAGGGCTCTTGGAGGGGCCTGCTGGCCAGCCTATTGCCTCAGGACTATAGGCCCTGCAATATACCTTGCCCAATGCACTTTAAAAGGCTCTGTAATGTGAAGTATGTACTTTGTACTCTAGACAGAGCCCTAATTCACTGGAACTGTTTTGGGCATGGGACCATGTGCACAGTGGGTCAAAAATAAGACTTACAGGAAATTCCTGAACCCCTGCTCTGATCTGGGTGATTTTTGGATATGTTGTTCACCCAGATCAGGGCTATCAGGGGAAGTATGGGGATATGTTGTGTTTTGGGGAACATATGGGGATATGTTGTGTTTTGGGGTTTTGTAAAATGTGTTTTTTATGCTTGGGGATAATTACGTTAATACATTATCTACCTTAATTGTATCACAGGCAGAGGGGAGGTATTGTGTGCTGTATGTGGGAGTGTCAGGCATTGTTACATTGTTTTTATTGGTCTGTACAATTTGTGTCCTGTGCCCCATCAGGTCAAGTGGGTGTTCCTCTGGCTTGAAAAGTTGTATAAAAATCCAACCTGTACCATTAAACTCTCAGATCATCTTGCACCTTCATGAAGTTTCGGGGGATTGGAGAACTACACTCTGGGGATTGCTATAATCACTATACTCTCCTGAGTATAATCACTAAGCTCTTGTAAGAGATGTTCCTGCTACGCGCTTTGGACTAGGAGAGGCCTACCCACGGGAACCTGGAGCCTTGTTGTAGGTCCAGGGTGGGTAGTAGACGCCGAGACCCCAACCAAGCTATGGCGGTTCGTGGGGTTTGCAGCGGTTATGGTGCTCCAGCGCAGTGCTTATGGTACTCGTCAGTACTAGGAAGCAGCAATTGACTGAGGCACCCGGTCAGGGTGCAGTCTGTCCGTCACATTTGGTGGCAGAGGCGGGATGGCGTCCTAGTGCGAGGAGAGGCATCCTGGAGACACCGGTAACGTGTTGATCATAGTGAGGGCAACGCTGGCATTCGTGCAGTGCCCCTGGAAGCAGAGGTGTCCATTGATATGGAGCAGGCAAGTATGGCATACGCTGACTCTTGCAAAGATTTTCTGGCCAAGGTGAGGCAGCGAGTGGCCTGGTATAGCCCTAATGTGTCCATGGAAACCTTCCAGGCTATCTGGAACTAGGTAACCATCGAAAGACAAGCGAAGAGGGACCAAGAGTTCCTGCTGGCTAATACGAGAAAAAGAAGTCTCCAATGAAAGGAGGTTTGCTTCTCTCCCCAGAGGCAGCCAGAGGTACACGAAGTAGGGGACCTCATAGACTGGTCCTGTGAGGAACCCCAACAGGCAGATGGAGATGGGACCAAAGTATCTCCAGCGGCTCCACAGGGTTGCTGGGCAGCCGGCCCAGATACCCAGCTGCAGCCAGAGCTACCAGGAGAGGAGACAGGTGGTCCTTATTCCCAAGTCCTGGTGGACCTCATAGACTGGCACTGGGAGGAACCTCAAATGACAGGTGGAAATGGGACAGAGGTCTCTCTACCGGACCTACACAGATCCCCAGCAGCAGCTGGAGTTACAGGGAGGGGAGACAACCGGTCTCTCTCCCCAGCAGCAGTGCATCCTACAAGGACAAGAGACAACCGTTCTCTCTCACCAGCGGCAGTGCATCTCACAGTAGGAGGAGGTACCCGGTAGAGGTGCAAGGTGGTCTGTCACATATACAACGTGACAAACAACTGTGAAGAGTATCCCTTTTAAATATGGAGAGTAGATCATAAAGTTAGAGTAATTGAATTAGATATTAAATATGTGGATCAAATAGAGCCAGAAAAGGTAAATTTGAATATGGGAGTTTCAATAAAAGGAGTACGTTGCAACTTACTAACTTTTTGGAATTGTGGTGAAGATGTATTCACTCAAACTTTTTCAAAATTAACTTATGTTCTCTAAAACTTTTTTTTAGTTTGGTGTTTAGTAAAAATAGCCATTCATTTTGAGATATGTGTGTGCTTTAGGACAGACAAAATGTAAGGGTTGGAAATTTGGTGGTGATTTCATTGAAGATAAAAAATGTGAATTTACAAGATGTTTGTGGATTTAGGCCTGAACGCTTATTTGAGCCTCATGACATTAATACAATATCTGTTATCATCTTTTGTGGTTTATGTGTCAATATATAAATGTTTTACTCTCTTCTCTTCTGGGAATGATGGTGAAAGGAATTTACTGAAGATCCATGTCTACGTTTCTAGCTTAATCTAAATCTTAGATCTTGTCAGCAGTTGTTGACATGCAGCCAGGAGGGGCCAATATGCTGTTTTAGTGCATTTCTGTTTTGCTCTTTATATTTATAAACTTTCATCCACATGGAATATGTAAAACGTGGTTATAACCGTTAAAACTACAATTTGTAATTTTTTCTAATACAGTAAACCGTACAATAGCTTTTTTTCATTAATACATGTTCATATACTACACAAATAAAATAAAATACCTTTTTAATATGAAAAATCTTTCCTGTGTAAGTTTAAGCATCTACAACATTTATTTTTGTCATATTTGTTTGTTTGATGCCCATTTTAGTGTCTAACTGTCTCTCTCTCATGACAATTTGTTTTTCTTCAGGAATTTGTGATTTTCCCCTTAATCATATGACAATGATATTAACCCCTTCACCTCGGCATTCATACCATGCAATTGTGTATACACAATTTGCATAACAGCAAATTAAATTTGTTTATTGCAAAAGGATTTTGTTTGAAAATTATTGTACTGTATTCCAGTTTCTAAAGTTCAGATAATATAACACATCCCCATGCTGAGTGTGAAACAAGCAGGTGAGCAGCAGCTGGCAGACAGTGAGGGGCAGCAACACACCACAGAGCAATCAGAGGGTAGCTGAAAGTGTGAGATGAGGGAGGTAAGCTGGGTTGCGGGGGGTCACATACTAATGAAAAAAAGCAGCATTGTGTGTAAAGGGTGAGCAGTGAAATACAACTTCCCTACTTACAATCTAACCCACCACACAGGCACCTGAAAGTCTGGCAGCTTGCAAAATGCCACATGATCACTAGGGAGTGCAATGCCCCTTTGATTGAACCCAGGTAAGAGGAAGAGAGGGGGAAATACAATGATACATTTTAAAAATAAATAAATCACAGAATGCAGCCCCTATCCTACTCCCCCACATATATACATATACGCACACTATATCCACTACACACACTGCATCCACTACACAAATACGCACTCTGCATTCACTATACACACAGCATCATTTACACACTGCATTCACTACACACACTGCATTCACTACACATACTACATCCACTTTACACACACTACATCCACTACACACACACACACACACACACACACATATACACAAACACACACTGTATCTACTATGCACACAGTGCATCTACTACAAGCACTGCATCAACTACACACACCACATCCACTTTGCACACATGCACCACATCCACTTTACACACACACACTGCATTCACAGCACATACTGCATCTACTACACACACTTCATCCACTACACACACAAAACATCCACAAGTACTCCTCACACACAAAGCAGCCCCTCCCATACACACAACATATTGCAAGCAGCTCTCTCCACACATATGCTCCTAGACATAGAGATACATGTGCACCCAGACACAGAGATTCACAGAGACACACAGACACATATTTGAATTGCAGGCACAGTTATGGACAGATATACACACTCACAGATGTACATGATTGTGACAGATCCCATATACTCCGGCAGAGTATATCTGCTGTAAGTCTCCTAAATCCCAAGTGATGCAGTGATTATAGCTCCCAAATCCCCAAACATCAGCCTAGACTTGATGAAGGGTAAACCAAATCTGTTTAATCCAGGCTCAATGGCTTGCTTTTATACAATACAGGGACACAGTAAACACGTATGACACTCCCACAACACACCTACAAAATGTCCCCAAAATGCCATGTCACCATGACTAAGCATAAAATGACAAAATATGAAAACACACAAATATTTATATTTCCCACATAGGAACCCCCACTGACCATACATCCCCAGGTAGCCTGGATCTGAGTGCCCAACTTTTCTGAAAAGCGCTCAAATCCCACGAACACAGCCGAAACTCCACCGTGGGGAATTCTGACCGGCCACACACATGGTCCTATGCCAAAAACAGTTCCAATGTCGGGATTTCCGTGCAAATCAAATACTGAACACACACTCTGGCTTCTTGGTAGTATTCTATGAACCATAAAAACAAACCTACCAAATCCCTCAAAGTCCCCTTAAAAACAACAGAAGAGAAAATACAGAGAAGAGGCTGCGCCACACAAAATAAATATAATAGGATAGCAATATTGTATCCCACAAAGGTCTTAACTTGACAGTTCTTTCTTTAGATCAAATGGTCTGTAACGTGCTTGGTCAGGGATAGTGTTCACGTAGATCTTCCCCAAAATGATCCAATAATATAAAAAGATAAAAGATAGAACAAAATAGTGCAATATATCCAATAAGATGAAATAAAAGATAAAAAGAAGATGGTAATGCACTCACATGTGGATGAGCTATAGCTAGCTCTAGTATGGACAGCGTACAGTCCCCGCTTATGGGATATGGTGCAGGTGTCTTGCTTCAAAGGTATGCTTCAAAGGCCTTTTATCATGGCCCATAGTCAGTGAGCAGGAGGCTAACCTCCACACTCCTCCAGGAGCCAGTGACGAATGTCCAAGCAAAGGGGCATTCATCACAACGATATACACTTACAGATGCACAAGGATACTCACTGCCAGACATACACTTTCAGATAAATACACACTACACAAGGCCAGACATGCACACACATGTATCAATACACAATGTCAGACACACACTGTGGTTGGGTGATTGTATCTGTCAATGTATGTGTGTGTTCCTACCCAGGTGTTAAACATTCCTAGTTTGTGGTGCTTTTAGGAGTTATATAAGGGTTGTGGTCATTAGCTTGGCTAATATAGCTTGGTTGCTACATCTAAGGGCAGCTTCAAAGTGTGTGATTGGAGATATTCCGAAGAGTCTTACAGGATCGTCAACTGTCTAAGATTTTACTTAGAGTTTTCTTTTTTACTGTTACAGGTGAGATTCATCTATAGGAAAAGGGTACTGATTGCACAAGGTTTGATTTCCTGTTGGTAATTGGTAAGGCATTTGATTAGCTGGGTGTTTGCTATTGATTGTTGGTTAATTAGCTATTGTTTACAAATAAGCATAGGCCTACGAGGGTTAAACATTCCTAGTGGGTGATGCTTTCATGAGTTATATATGGGTTGTGGTCATTAGCTTGGCTAATATAGCTTAGTTGCTGCTTCAAAGTGTGTGCTTTGAGATATTCTGGAGATAAACTGGAGGTAATCTGAGGTATACAGGAGGGAAAAAAAGTTGAGATTTGTTTGATTTAAATTACTCACCCCATTAAAATGGCAGACTTAGTTCAGTGTAATAGTTGTTATTTGTTTCACGTTCCACTTTTTTAAGATTTGGATGCTGTCTAATCTGTAGACAGTTCCCTATATTGCAGCATGAGATTGTATTTTTGAAGTCTGAGATTTGTAAATTATCTGGTAAACAAACTCAGGCTGGAACTGCTGCAAAGCCACTGCTGCAGAGACGTACTAGGAATGGCAGATGGATCACTGTAGGATCTGGTAAACTAAGAGTTGTGGATAAAAGGCATATTACACAGTCAGTTGCAGTTTCATAGTGTAATGGTGTTATGGAGACAGGCTCAGGCACGGAGGGTAGTGGTGTTGTGGAGACAGGCTCAGGCACTGAGTGAAGTGGTATTATGGAGACAGGCTTGGAGACTATGGTGAGGCCTAATAGAAAGCAGTTGTTGTTGGGGGATTCTATCTAGAGGTGTGGAGCTGGACAATAGTGGTCTTGTGAGATGTCTTCCCGGAGCTACTGCTCATAGAGACAGGAGACTTATTTGTAATATTGTTAAGCAAGCAAAGCAGGAAGGGGAATTGGATGTACATGTCCATCTGGGGACAAATGACTTGGCTTGCAATGAGGTTTCAGAGGTAAAGGAAGTATTTTTGTGTTTTTGCCAATGATATACAGCAGGTTGCTTCCACACTGTCATTCTCTGAAGCTCTGCGTGTGCATAGCACTCAGAACGACAGGCAGATGCGTATTAGGGACTTTAACTTGTGGCTTCGTGAATGGTGTCGGGAGCAAGGATTTGGCTTAATTTCTCATTGTAGCTCTGTTTGGAAAGGAAATAAACTGTACAAAAAAGATGGTTTGCATCTTTCTCGAAAGGGAACAAATGTTCTCAGAGAGCAGTTCAAAGGTTAGGAGGTATTTAAATTAGGATGGGGGGCAAAAGGGTGATAAAACAGCAATCCAATTGCCCCCGCAAAACAAGGACAGAAGGTAGCAAGTGTGTTAAAAAATGATGAGCTTAGAGTCATGTCTACAAATGCTTGCAGTTTAGTGAATAAGATCCATGAATTAGTGGCAATAATGGCAACTGATAATGTTGATTTAGTCACTGTTATTGAGACATGGTATAGTGAGACAAATGACTGGGACATAGCAATACCAGGGTACTCTTTATATAGAAAGGACAGGGAAGGCAAGAAAGGGGGAGGGGTGGCCCTGTATGTTAAGGATAGCATAAAATATAGCCTAATAAAAATTAGTGAGGGGAACATAGAGTCCGTTTGGGTTATGTTAGAATTTGGTAATCACACAGTAACTCATGTAGGTGTGAATTATAGGCCCCCAGGCCAAACAGAAGTTAGATAATCTACTAGCTGAGGAAATAGTTAAAATGACAATGAAGGGGTAAGTTATCAGCATGGGTGACTTTAATCTTCCTGATGTGAACTGGAAAACCAAAATAGCTGCTTGTGCCAGGAACACACATATTCTAAACTCCCTACTGGGATTGTCTCTAAAACAAGTCCTTGAAGAGCCAACTCCTAAAGAGGCCATACTAGATTTAGTGTTAACAAATGGAGATTTGGTATCAGATATTACTGTAGGTGAAAGTTTAGGATTCAGTGATCATCAGTTAGTGTAGTTTAATATAAGAACAGTGAATGAGTCACACCACACAAAAACAAAAGTTTTAGACTTTAGAAAAACAGACTTTTCTAAAATTAGAATATGTGTAAAGGAATCATTATCAGACTGGATCAATTTAAATGGAGTCCAAGAGAAATGGGATTATTTAAAAGTTGCACTACTGAAGGCAACAGAAAATTGCATTAGGCCTGTCTGTAAAATAAAAAAATTCAAGAAACCAATAATAATTTTTAACCTTGTGAAAATATGGCAGAGAGTACTGTAAAGTACTGCAACGATATTTCCACAGAGACAGAGAGGGGTATTTTTTATATACACTCCTATATACTTATTAACCCTTAATAGGGAACAAAATACCCCTCTCTGTCTCAGTGGAGATATCGTTGCAGTACTTTACAGTACTCTCTGCCATATTTTCATAAGGTTAAAAATTATTATTAGTCAGTGTAGGATCGCTTAGGGGGGTCTGCCTTGACGTTGGCAGGTGGGCATTCCCTGTCGATACAGCTGCCGCTTGTATATGGCGGATTTATGTGCTATAAATGTACGCTAGATAGATCCATCTAGTTTTAGCCTCTGATGAAGTGACATTGTTGAGTCACGAAACATAAGGCTTTACGGCATTTCCTGTAGGATCATTCTGTTATCGGGTTTAAGTGTAACCCAGGCTTTGGACAAAGTGGAACGCACGGGAAGACTTCACCATCAGTCTCTGCGCATCACCTCCTCTAAGCCGGCCAGAGGGAGCATCAGCACCGATCCACTTTATCCCCCTATCCTGCAGTTTCAGATTTCTCTATACATGCTCAATATTTTGATAAATAAATCACGTTTTAATAGAGAGCACTATGGCTGTTTATTTTATTTTTCAGAACATAGTGAAGATCCTGCCACTCTAGATCTGTCACTGTGATCTAAGACCTTGTATTGTTTCTACTGTGGCAAATGATGTGCTAATACCAGACTATTTGACACCTATTTTTCATTCTGCACCGTAGGTCATATTAAATCAGCCTTGCATAAATTGCTGCTCATGTTACTCAATTACAGGAGTTGTGTATCCAGATAGCTGACACATAGTTACATTAAAACATTGCTACAACTGTTTTCACTACTGTTACTTTTATGGACTTTATTTGATGGTAAATTCTACCAGTTTGAATCCTATGACTTTGAGCAACACTTTGATGTGACATATCAGATGCTGTTGCTTTTTTGTTAATTTTTATATCTTGCATATATTATTTTTATTTATATATTTTTTCATTATTCTTTATTTTTTTTTACTGGTCCACTACTTAGTTAATTGTCCCCCACTTCACTAGCAGGGGCATCACTTTTCCTGGACATTTTGTATTATGTGTCTGTTATTTGATTTTATTTATGTACTATTTGTATCTGTTATACTTATACCATTGTATATCTGTTTTAGCCCAATTATTAGCTTTTATATTTCTCACAAGTCATCTCCTGGTACGTTTAGGATCTAGTATCCTTACTTTTCAATAGGTTTCTTCTTAGTTGCATAATTACATAGGCTAAAAAGAGACGTGTTCATCAAGTTCAGCCTCACATCTGTTTTTGCTGTTGATCCAAAATAAGGCAAAAAAAGTTTGAATCGCTTTCTTGGAAAATTATCATGTAGGCATTTACATTTTATACATGCTGGTATAAAGACAATGCATGCCTTTATATTTCCTGGATATATACTTTTCATACTTGGGAGAAAATGGGACCTGCGCACATTTTAGCAAAACATGTACAAGATATGTTTTATAAAAAAAAAAAGAAATAAAACAAGCTGAATACACTGAAGCAAGGTATATATACAATATGCTAAAAAATGCATTAGAATATGCCTCGTACAATCTAAAAGACTATAGGTCACATTATGTAAGCTCATTCGAATTCACTATAGTTAATTTATTCATAGATAGGTAATTTTTCACTGACAGGTAATTTAAAGTATTTTGTTACTGGAATGCTAAAAAATATCCAAAGCACACATTATGTCCTTTATTTGGTACAGCAGCTCATACATTATTGCCATTTGAGACCAATTCTGCAAAGATTAATGCAGTAGTGGATACAAATTAGAAATTGTCAGTATTTTAGTCATTTGTTACAAAGAGTATTTTAACATTTACCAAGGTTCTTGGTGCACAAATGTTTCCATGGCTCATTTAATATTAGCGTGGAGTATACATAAAAGTGGAATACTATGGTTTATGATATTCACAGTTGTTTCTATTTGTTGATTAATTGAAAGTTAAATAATAATTGTGATTGTATTTGTTTTTAATTATGCATTATTTATGACTACTTGTTGAGCACAACACTAGGCAAAAATGAAGGCATTGTTATTTTCCTAAATTATTAGTTGATGTTTTTTCTCATTACCACCATCTGTTGCAATTGTATTTAGATTCCTATCAAAACAGCATTTATGGAGCTACTTGGGGTGAATCATTCAAGACAGAGAAATGCAAAGTCTAAATATGTTTCCCATTTGACACAGGAGTAGGCTAAATCATTTCTATGTCTTATCTCAAACCGAGACGTCTGAGCAGTAGTAGGTATAAAGAACTGCTGTGATTAAAATGAATAAGTCAACATGATGCGTTTATAGACTTGTGTGTACACGAACAAGAAATAAATAAATTACCATGTTAGATTTTTTTACTCTGTTTAAAAATGGACTTTAAATGTCTAATATAGAGACTTAACCACCACGGAAAATGCACTGATTTATAATCACAATCATGTAGGTTGAAAAAAGTCCATCAAATGCCATATATCAAACATGTATGTTTTTATGGTGGATACAAAAATAAAAGTCAAAACTTGAAGAATTGTTTGTGCTCTTATTACAAATTGTGCCCTAAAAGATGAAGAAAATCCTTCTTGACATAAAGTGGAGATCGGCTGTTTCCCTAATCAAAACTACTGTTAATAACCACGTTAAATATTATAGCCCTGCATATCCTAAGGTACTAAAAATTACATTGCAATTTATTTTAACAATATCTGCTCTGTGCAGAGAATTCAACACAGTGGCGTAACTATCTTAGTCACAGCTGCGACCGTGCCCATCACTCCAGAGGCATGACTCCCATTTTGAACCCTGCAACAAAGTGCCGGCATAACTTCAGGGCCCGTGCACAATAACACTGGCCATGGGATGTGTGGTGGCTGGAAGACCATCAGGAGGGAAGCGTACAGCAGGATTAGGGATATGGGGAAGGGGTAGGGTTAGATTCCTGTCATCATTCCCTTAATTTGCCCTCCCTCTCCTGTGTTGTCACATTTTAGAAATCCAAAGCACTTCCATAGTTTGGACATTCGGAAGCAACCGAATGTCCAAATTGCCGAAATTTGTCCGAATTTAAATTCGGACCGAAACAAATTGCACATATCTACTAATAACAGCCAACCATTGCTGTTCAGGTAATGCCTCCCTTATTAGAAGAAGAAAGCATAGAGAAGATGGGCATCTGGGACCCTTGCTTAGCAGTAAAACATTAAAATTGTTTAACACTGAATCTCCTGTTCTCTTGATCCCATTCCTTTACATCTTCTCCAATCTCTCTGTACTGTTGACAATATTAGGTCTATTTAATTGGAGTGTATTCTTAGGGCATACATAAAAATATGAGAATTGAAAAGCTTTCTTTTTAGTTCAAATTTTTATTTAATATTAAATGGTATCATTGGATTTTATACAAAAGGCAACTGTAAGAAACATGATTTACTCCCCTTTACTAGTCTTACTTGTTTTCATGCACTTCTGTGGAATCTACACCATTAAATAACATTTTAAAAATGACCTATAAACTTATTAGCATTTATATAGTACCAACATATTAAACAGTACTTTTCAATTATAAAAAGAGGATATTTAGAGGTGAAGAAGGCTCTGCTCAACAAGTTTACATTACAAAGATATTTTAGGTAGACGTATATATATATATCTCTCGTTGTGTGTCTTGCACAGGGCCGGTAAGGTCTGACTTGGAATCAAATCTGAGTTTTCCAGTGCTAAGGCAGTGATCTTACCACCTCTCTAACAACCCAATTAAACAAAAAGGGGTGCATTGTATATAATAACCTCAATAGCCATAGACAATCACTGATCAGTAATCTTCCAAATAAACACAAATAAAATCAAAAGAGAATTACAAATTGAATTAAAATAGGTGAATGATGGATAAGAGTACAACTGAAAGTGCAAAAAAACCCACCCAACTTTAACTTACAAACAGGTAAAAATAGATCTTCCTATTGTGTCCCAATATACAGTTGTGCTCAAAAGTTTACATACCCTGATAGAAATTGTGATATTTTGGCTTTGATTTTGAAACTATGACTGATCATGCAAAAACAAAAAGTATTTTATTGAAGGATAGTGATCATATGAAGCTGATTAACAGAAATCACCTAAATGGCCCTGATAAAAAGTTTACATACCTTTAAATGTTTGGCCCTGTTACAGACACACACAGGTTAAAATGTCAATTGAACGTTACTTTCCCACACCTGTAACTTTTTAAATTGCAATTGATGTCTGTGTATAAGTCAATGAGTTTGTTAGCTCTCACATGGATGCACTGAGCAGGTTTGATACTGAGTCATATGGAGCAGAAAAGAACTGTAAAAAGACCTGCATAACAAGGTAATGGAACTTTATAAAGATGGAAAAGGATATAAAAGATATCCAAAGCCTTGACAATTCTAGTCATTACTGTCCAATCACTTAAGAATAGTGATGTCGTGAACCCGAAATTTTCGGTTCGCGAACGGCGAACGCGAACTTCCGCAAATGTTCGCGAACCGGCGAACCGCCCGAAACGCCATTGACTTCAATGGGCAGGCGAATTTTAAAACACACAGGGACTCCTTCTGGCCACAATAGTGATGGAAAAGTTGTTTCAAGGGGACTAACACCTGGACTGTGGCATGCCGGAGGGGGATCCATGGCAAAACTCCCATGGAAAATTACAGTTGATGCAGAGTCTGGTCTTAATCCATAAAGGGCAGAAATCACTTAACATTCCTAAATCACAATGGATATGGATTGATACCTGACATATGACATATTGA